ACAATTTTACTTTTCTTCCAGTAAAGGAAGTTTTGTGAGATGAAACCAACTTGGGACCAACTTTAGACTCTGAGCTACAGTGGGTGTCTTCTGTGAGCCACACACTAAATGCATGTTTATATTAGGATTTATAACTTTAAAAGTTGACATTAATTTCCCGTATTTGCAAATGTAGCAATTTAAATAGAAAACTTAATGTTAAAGACTGGGCTGAACTTAAATATCTGTGCTTCTGGACAACGCAGACAAGGCTTCCCCTACCTTTTAAATAGATGAAAGATGATAGGACAGAATAACATGCTAAGAAAAGAGGTGTAATTGTGCTTTCCCCCAGCAAGGAATGAATTATGTGGAACAAATGGTAAGATAATCCCACTGGAAGTCTTTTAATTAATCTTATTTTCCCTTAAAAAAAAAAGGACTGTTATTTCTAACAATGAAGCCATGAAGTAGAAACAGGTGTGGTCCTTCACAGAGCAGCTGGGTTCCTTTGGCGCCATCTCTCTATAGCAACAAGCTGAGGAAACAGGGATGGTATTGATCTTACCAAATAAACAAAGGAAGTGTGATGCTATCACATAATGGATTGAACAATTTACATCATTCTAAAGAGCCACCTCCATAACTTCAGAAACATTTAAACTAATACAGCACTCAACCCATTTCTTAAATCAGGAATAAGAGAGTTCCTGTGAGAGCCTTTTCCAGGTCTTCCTGCTCTGTCCCTCAGATTTATACAGGGCACAAAGCAAGTTCACGACCAAACTGCACTGCTTGCAATAAGCAGGATTCACATGGTTACATTCACCACTCCCTGGGGAGGGCCCATTACCATGGGCAAATATAGTATCACTACAAATGCATTAGAATTAGTCTTTGGTTTAATGTGTTAACCAAATTCAGGGATGAAATTAACTTGCATAAATATTAAGGGGGAAAAAGAAGACTGACACAATGAGCTGTGATGGTCTGTCTGGTCCTTCCTCTTAGAAATGCAGGAACTTGACCCAACACCTCTTTTTGGTCAAATGCCCCCTTAATTTCCAGACTCCCATACATAGCTATGTCTAATAGCTATGTCTGAGTATCCAGTTTCAGAGATTCACTCAATTCAAAAAGCATTTCTGGAGATGATGAAGATGACATAAAATGAAAAAGGACTACAGGTGAGTCATGAAGCAACGCGGTCAGCAGATTATCTAGGGGTGGTGATGGGGGTCTATTTAAGCTACCCACCTGGCAACAAGCTGTTTTAGTGTTTCACATGTACATGTGTAAATGAACCTTTCATTTCACAACTTTTTAAATAATAGAAAAAAATTTTTAAGTTACCCTTGTCTAAGGATTTCTTTTAAATACAGGTTTTTATGCTGGTCTAATATCTTAAAGTGATTCCCAGGAAAGATCCCCTTGTCCCAAACCGACCAGAGACTATAGACAGGGCTGGGCAAAGACCATCACACTGACTTTTAAAGCATAGTATCCTTTTACATATTAAAGTCCATTGATGAATCTTAAAGAGGGAGTATCTTCTGAGCCACAGAGGAAACAAACACACACAGCCTGTCCTTGCCCTTCTCCTTATTCACTGGGCTTGAGTCCTTTGGGACTTGACACTTCCTTTGGTAGTAATTTTGGGAAATTAATGCTATAACCTGTAACCCACTATGGTGGGTATCAGCATTCCCCTCCCTGAATCCTGCCTGGAACCTGCCACTCCTAAGGGCAGGACCCATCACCACGGCAGCTGTAGTATTATTGATAGTCCTACAACCATTAGCACAGACTAAAGTTAGAGATGTCATGTCAGGATAAAAGACTAAATTTAACTACATCAGGGAAATCGAGGGGTGGAGAGAGAAAAGTTAGTCACCGACACTGCCGTTCTATTTACACACCAAACTAAATAAACTAGGTAAAAAATCAAGTTCATGTCTGCCCAGAGGATAGTACAATTTACCAACATAAAAGATTAAAAGAAGCAGCAACTTTTATATAAAATTAATTAAGACAATGAAAAAGAAATTGTCAGTAGCATCTAACTCCTCAATGTGTCTGAACCGCACAAGATAAACTAGTCCATTAGTACAGCAGCTTGCTAAAAATTGACTTTGGTTCAAGCTTAGTTAAAAAAAAACAACATAAAAAAACACACCACACATAAAAACTGTGGATGGACATTTGTTAGTTTCCCTGCTTGCAGTTCACTGATTTTGGAGGGATTTTAGGGACGGTGAAGGGTGAGAAGAGGACACTTAGGGTGGGAATTAAATACTTTGTGAAACGAAACGGGAAGACAGAGGAACAAAAGGAAATCACCAAGGGAAGGGGACGAGAATGTTTCTCCCGTTCAACACGGACATGCCTGTCTCCCAAGCGGACACTCACCACAGGGTGCAGTGTGTGACCACGGCCTCCCAACGCCGTGGAGACACAAGTGCACAGAACCAGGCTCCCTCCCACACAAGCTGAGCAACAAAAAGGACCTGTGAGCCCTCAGCCCGCAGCTCGAAAGGGGAAAGTGCAGACTTGGAGAGGCGAGGTCAGCAAGCACCAGACACGGGCCGGGCCCTCGCTGCCTGCAGGCAGGCAGGGCACAGGAGCACGCTGTGGCATTCGAGTTCCGGGGGCTCTGGGTACAGATACTACAACAATAGTACAATGATGAAAAAGGACCTAATTTCCCAGTCACCCTCGTTCCTCTTCATCTCCTTCACGAATCTTCCTTATCTTGGGCTCACTTACAGTCCAGAAACACCCGCCAATGGTGCCAGAAGCCCATCGCTCTCCCCAAATGGAGAAGCTACTGCCATCAGACCCGCCTTGCAGGAGCATCACTGACCAGCCCAGGAGACACCCAAGCGAGGTGTGTGCAGCTCCTGCTCAGTCCTTCAGGGGCTCTACAAACCCATGCAGCTAGTGCATGCCTTCCCCTCCGGGGGACAAGGACAGTCTGAGTGATGGTCACAGCCACCTGGGGAAAGGACGTCTGTGGCTAGAGGAGAAGGTATCACCTCACTCTTTGCATTCCACCTGCTGGTGATCAGTCACCGATGGAAACAATCTAGCAGAGCTCCTTTAGAGAACCAGGGAGGGAACCTGTCCCAATCTCACAAAGTCAATTTGTTCTTTGCCAAGTAAGTTAAAGGAAGTTCGGACGAGAACCTTCCACACAATGGAACAAACAAACACAGCAACAATAGGAGCATTTTTCAGGAGATCAGAGTCAGGAGAACCACCCAGTCAGGTGTTTGCAGTAGTCTTTGCTCTTGGAGCCAAGTCCCGCCTGCAACACGTGCAGCCCCGTGGGAGGCAAGGAGCGGCGCTGGTGCACCCCGGGACCCGGCCTCGGGTCATTCAAGGTCGGAGTGAGAGCTACAGTCCAGCAGGAATTCCTTCCTACACAAAAGTGCTCCAAAGGCACCACCTGATGGGGGAGGGTGGAGGGGGAGCGTCTGCACACTGCACACGCTACCTAAGCTTCTGCACCGAGCCTCTTGCATAAGTGGCAAAAGAAAACAATTTTCTAGGACCTGTGAGAGTCATCAAGGGTAAGGAAACCAGCAAGAACATTCCGCAGTTAAGAACGCGAGTTCCCCGACCCCAACCCTCCCTCCCCAGTGTGGGAGCTCACTGAAACAGGATCCAGGAGCGAGACATGTCCAAACCATATATATAAAAACAGTGACAATAACAACAATAAAAGATACAGTAACGCGGGCCTGCCTAAATTGTACCAGTTAAGAAAGGAACCCCCAACACAATTGATACGATTATAAACACCTTGTTATGACTTAATGGCCTGTACAACAGACCCATAAAAAATGATTTTTTAAGGAAAAAAAAAAAAGAATTTAGACAAACAAGAAATACTCTTTCTATATTAGAATTGGTAACCCACCTTGACTGTCACTGTGACCGCTGGAAATGATAAGTAGTCCTTTCACTTATTTTTTTTGTTTGTTTTTGATTTTTTGTTTCTGCTTTTAAAATTTTTGGTTAGAAAGTTCTCCAATCCATTNCCAAATGGAGAAGCTACTGCCATCAGACCCGCCTTGCAGGAGCATCACTGACCAGCCCAGGAGACACCCAAGCGAGGTGTGTGCAGCTCCTGCTCAGTCCTTCAGGGGCTCTACAAACCCATGCAGCTAGTGCATGCCTTCCCCTCCGGGGGACAAGGACAGTCTGAGTGATGGTCACAGCCACCTGGGGAAAGGACGTCTGTGGCTAGAGGAGAAGGTATCACCTCACTCTTTGCATTCCACCTGCTGGTGATCAGTCACCGATGGAAACAATCTAGCAGAGCTCCTTTAGAGAACCAGGGAGGGAACCTGTCCCAATCTCACAAAGTCAATTTGTTCTTTGCCAAGTAAGTTAAAGGAAGTTCGGACGAGAACCTTCCACACAATGGAACAAACAAACACAGCAACAATAGGAGCATTTTTCAGGAGATCAGAGTCAGGAGAACCACCCAGTCAGGTGTTTGCAGTAGTCTTTGCTCTTGGAGCCAAGTCCCGCCTGCAACACGTGCAGCCCCGTGGGAGGCAAGGAGCGGCGCTGGTGCACCCCGGGACCCGGCCTCGGGTCATTCAAGGTCGGAGTGAGAGCTACAGTCCAGCAGGAATTCCTTCCTACACAAAAGTGCTCCAAAGGCACCACCTGATGGGGGAGGGTGGAGGGGGAGCGTCTGCACACTGCACACGCTACCTAAGCTTCTGCACCGAGCCTCTTGCATAAGTGGCAAAAGAAAACAATTTTCTAGGACCTGTGAGAGTCATCAAGGGTAAGGAAACCAGCAAGAACATTCCGCAGTTAAGAACGCGAGTTCCCCGACCCCAACCCTCCCTCCCCAGTGTGGGAGCTCACTGAAACAGGATCCAGGAGCGAGACATGTCCAAACCATATATATAAAAACAGTGACAATAACAACAATAAAAGATACAGTAACGCGGGCCTGCCTAAATTGTACCAGTTAAGAAAGGAACCCCCAACACAATTGATACGATTATAAACACCTTGTTATGACTTAATGGCCTGTACAACAGACCCATAAAAAATGATTTTTTAAGGAAAAAAAAAAAAGAATTTAGACAAACAAGAAATACTCTTTCTATATTAGAATTGGTAACCCACCTTGACTGTCACTGTGACCGCTGGAAATGATAAGTAGTCCTTTCACTTATTTTTTTTGTTTGTTTTTGATTTTTTGTTTCTGCTTTTAAAATTTTTGGTTAGAAAGTTCTCCAATCCATTAAGCAATCCTGAAAAGACAGTGTTTTATTACAAAATTAGGCAAATGTCCAGTCTCCATCCTTTCTTTCCGGCATGTGTCTTTCCTGCTCTTCTCTCCCTCGCCCTCACACCGTGGCAAGAGGGAGCCAACCGCACCTGCGGTGGCAGCCCGGCTGGCAGCCCAATGGACCGCGCGTGGAAGAGGCTGTGGTGGGTAGTGGCCGCTCACTGTGCCTTGGAGGCGGTGGTGGTGGTGGAAGCAGCCCCGCTGGCAGAGGCCACTGTGAAGAGAGAGTTCTGGATGGACTCGGCGGAGGTGGAGGTGGCATGAAGGCTGGCAACAGGCCCAGAGTTGCCCGCGGAGGCTGCAGCGGCAGAGACCAGGCTAACCGGGTTGCTGGTGAGCAGAGAGAGGTTCTGGGGGTTCAGGAACAGAGGGGCGGTCACGATGTTGGGGGCTCCTCCCGCATTGGCAAAGACCAGGTTCCCAGTCGCATCCAGTGACGTTATTGGAAGAGAGCCACCAGAAGCAAGAGCTACGGACAAACCCCCAAAACAGGTGAGAAGGAGACCATTAATACCGTCTAGAGAAGCCAGGGACACACCAAAATGACTGAGCTCTCCCACAACCAGTGGAAAGTGCAGCCCTTTAATGATTTTTTTTCTTAATCAGATTTCCATCTTGTCACTCCCTGAAGTTTGCTATGATTCTGAAAGGGCCTAAAGGATTACTGATCTAATGAGTATACGCAGGACAGAGGAGGGGGAGTAAGGACTGTATGACCCATTAGAACGGCACCTCTACCTGAGAGATCTGCCTGATTCCATACCTATCTACAGGTGTTAGGTAAATCCAGTGACTGTTTTTAATGAAGATGACTGATGTTAGACTACCTCCCTTCAAATGACAAACTAGTTCCAGTGATTACAGCACTGAAATACAGTTAGCTTTTATCAATCCACTGGCACTATTAAAATCTGAGCACTTTAAGGCTTGACACACAAGATGAAAAGCCATCTCTCAAAAGACTTTAGTTCTAAAATCAAATAAAGTGCAGGGTATGATCAAGCTTTCCCTTCGTGACTTGTGAGGAGTGGGGTACACACTGTCGGAGGCAGTGGCAGTGTGGTGACACCGCCGTGGAACAGCGTGGTTTAGGACTTGCTCTATCGCCTGAGAACTTCCTGTGATGAAGGCATCAGTAATATTTTCTTTAAAATAAGTGGGCACACTCATCTATTAAATTTTCCTGTTATCTAACAATCCCCAATATCTCCCTGACCCATAGAACCACACCCCCTACATGCAGAATTGAAGGTTTCTCTAGGCTTTAAAAATCCAGTTGATTTTTTATGTAATATGTAAAGAAAGCTGGAGGGACTGAAGGGAACCCATCCCTGACTCAGACACCATCCATACAAAGAGCACACAACGGGGAGACTTGGTGCAGCTTGAAGTTTTCTGAGCCTCCAGCTTAGGGTTGTAGACAGGTATAGATCTCCCCAGAGAGGTCTGTCCTCTGCCCCCCATTGTGTCCAGGGAAGCAATTTGCCTCTGGAGCATCACTACCATGCAGAGATACCTGCTGTCGAGGAAGTGGTTTCTCACAAGTTTTATTCCAAAAAGGGGTCCCTGGCTAAGAAAAGCTTTATCAAGCTCACCACCGGTTCTGCACCATGCCAAAGTCAATGTGATGCAAGGTAATCCAGTGCATGTCTGGGGTTTATCAGTAACCAGTATTTAGCACTAACCTTTACTGAAGTTGGCTAACAGCTTATTTTTGGCCCCAAAAACTCTCACTTAAGCACAAACTATTTTAATTTTAAGAAAAAAACATTCTCTGATTAATACAGGGATGTCTCTCAAACTGTTTCCCCAAATCATGTTATAGCAACAGCATCTACGGACAGAAGCCCAGAAACCACACAAGGCATACCCTTCAGTATATGGAATGAGGGGATTTAGATGCACTTAAGACTGGGTAGCCCCCTAAGGCCAAAGGGGACCCACTGGCCTTTGGGAAAGACATCGCAGCCGAAGAGCACACATGCTCTGCAATGACAGGGACAACAAAGGGCAGACCCCATGAGAATTATAAGTTCTCCCGAAGTCCCATGATGTGCTCCAATGGGCCTTCTCAGCTGTGGCTCTCTTGGGGTGGAGACAGAGATGGGGAGTTTTACTTGGTCAGGTTGCCTGGGGATGGGTCTTGGATGACTGCATGGATAAACTTATCAGAGGGAAAGTCTGCCCCCAAGTCTAGTCACACAAGATCAATATCAGCATAAAAGTCCTGGGTTCTCACAATACATCACACTAGTCTACCTCCTGTTCTGAGGCACAAACTAACACCTACACTTCTCTACAAAGCTTTTTCACGAGGATATTTTCTTGGTCCACAAGTTAGTCAACTCCCCCCCCCC